AGAGCTGGTTTTGCGTACTGTTGCCCTTTCAAGCTTTGTTAGTCTGAGAAGACAGCGACAGCAATGTCAACAACAGCGAAGAGCTAAACGATTGGTAATGATTAGATGTGTTCTTAAGACAGGTTCGGTAAGTGTGAATGCCCGCGGCGCATTGCGTGCGTTTCCACTGATTTTTTTTCACTCTTCGCAGTTTATTTTTATAGTGAGAGTGAAGTTCTCGAATTCCTTCTCAAATGATACCCCAAATTGCGTTCCAGCCTAGATGGTAAGTTTTTATTTCTTGTTGCGATACCGTTTTATAAAATTAGCGTGTAATAGCCGTGGCTGCCAGTATCGAGATTTAGAGAACAGTTTCTTAGGGAATTCAAATGGTGTACTTGTCTGGAAGTCGGCCATCTAACGCAGAGGTCTTCGTGCATCGAAATTCGTATTTCATGTTTCCTATGATAAATGGAAGTAATTGGAAGCAATGGGAGTGTTTTCCAGAGGAAGTTTCCAAGTGAACTAGGCACCGTTGTAAAATTAAAGTTTATGGACTGATATTTAAACGAAATTGGGTGTTTTTCATTGTTTAAACGACTTTCAAGAAACTCAGGGATTGCACGATTGCTATTGAAAACGAAGCAAGATGCAAACGATTTTGCTCCTCAAGGTGGCAGCTCCTTTCAAGGGTCGTGTCTGATGTAACCTGCCCCGTTTGGGTGACGATTTTGCACTGGTATCAGATTCGCTGTTTGGCTTTTGTTGTGAAGTTCAGTAGAGTTTCAGTTGGGCTGAGGGCTTAGAGCAGAAAATTTAGCGCATAAAACATCTGTATAAAATGGCAGATGCGATTTGTTGCCACAAGCCTCCATATCTCTCTTCTAGCTCACCATTCCATTCAAGCCAAGGTCTTCGAAATAAGTGCGTGCAGCCCCTTGCGCACGAATCCGTTACCTGTTAAGTTCATTAGTCATTCGTCAGTCGTGCCACGTAGTGCGCCGTAGTCGGATTCGCTGTGCACGCAGGGGACTGAGGAACATTTTTTGTTTAAAATTTCCATTTCTTTCCATCTTCGCAAATTCTTTTACTTACTGTCTACACTTCTCAGGTGTCTTGGACAGAATCTCCGGTTTGCCTGCACCCCGGCCGAATCGGGTTTCAGGTGGCAGGTTTGTGAGGCTTGGTCCGCTCTGAGTTTTCCTCAGTGAATTCAGACGCAACCATTTCTTCTCCGGTGGTATCTCTTCCATGCCACGTAGCGGTAAGTCATCTCGCAGAGGGCTTAAATATTGGAGAACACATTTTGTGCTGCATGTCATTATTGGTGATTCCCCATCACATGAGTTGCTCTAGTTAGATGGCAAAACTTCATACCTAACTGCTGGCTACAGGCATCTGTTGCAAACGTCACAGTGAATTTCGTTTGTTGTTTGAGGGTTCAAGTGTTGTCTGTCAGGTATCTCACCTTACCTAGAATGAAATTAGTTACACTTAAACGCAAGATTTGCAAAACTAATTTCCTTTGAAGTAAATGCTAATTTTTATAACTTGCTGATAACTTGTTCATGTTATGAAAATAAAGTATAATTTTTTCGTAATGATTTTCCATTGGTCACATTTTATTTTATGAAATAGTGAGTGATTACAGTGTTGTTTATCAGTTTGAGGAATAACGGTGTTAGCAAGATAAACGTTTACGACCGTAAAAGACTTGCCACAGTGCATAATAGGATCCTATTTGTTCGTTGTCATTGACTCCTTTGCGGGTCATCTCAAGTTACTGCAGACTTGTACTGTTACCGTAGCACATGAGGAAAATATATTGGGTCACAGTTCGGTTTTTCCATACGCGTTTCCTTAAATCGGTATTTTTCTGGTTTCTTATATCCTTGTTCGCTCACGCAATTCAGATTTTCGTACTGGATATCCTGTCGACATCATGATGTGCAGTACAGAAATGACAGTTTATTGCATATGAAAATCAAACTAGACTTTTTCTGCCACCAACTCTGGTCTTATGCAACGGCGGCGAAAATCGTTTTCTTATGTTTAACTCAGGCAGTCGAAACACCTCACAAACCCTCTAGACTGGTCATATTCCTTGTACTGTTTGGTTGACATTTCTTGAGTTGGGTTACATGAGTGGGACTCTGCTCTGCGCATTGTATATGTTTAGTAACTGACCAGCGTGATTTATAAAAAAAGTACTTTTTCTAGTGATCATTTTGGCTAAATTTTTACGTCAACTTTTCAGGATTACCACCGCTGCAAAATACGTTCCTCTGACTATTATGGTGGCCATCTATTTTACGGACTGGCAGCCTGTCGTCAAGTATATTCCATTGTACGGTCGTCGATTTAGAGATGCCCAGTAGGGTTATGATGTTTATGTAAATGACTGATCGACATTTTTGGCAGTTATGTAAATTTTTTCAAATTCGTTGCGTAGTCGAATTGTTAATGTGTAACCATTTAAGTGCTTGTGTTTGCAGAACTTGTGTAGAAATTCAAGTAAACATGTAACTTCAGAGTTGTTTTCTGCGAGTGCTTTGTGATTTTACGAATAAACCTTTTGGTTTTGCATCAGATGCGGTTTGCCAGTTATTCTACTGCTTTACTCTAGGTCAGCATGCGGACTGAGAATTTTACATATGTAGCAGACCTCCAACATTTTTGTTAAGGTAACAAACGTTGTAACAAAATCGGGGTTCTGTTTACTTTGATGTCATGTAGTGGTTGCTTTCAAGTAACATAAAATGAGTTTGTTATTTCGTACTTTCATTTTGTTGCAGGTCAAGCTGAAAGTTGTTCCACCGAATAACTATTGCTGCATTATGCCGAGAGGTTTTACACGGACGATGGATAGTGCAACGCGGTCAAGAAAGTTACCTTCGTAACTCCGGGTGATGAGCTGCATCGTTCAGCCGTGACATTTCTCGTAATATCAATTTCAGATGATCGATGGTATTGATCATCTGAGTGACAGCGCCAGGTGGAAAACGTTTTGGTGGTCGATGTGGTGGATTGACTCTAACGTTCGAAGAACATGTATAAAAGGGTCAGTTCGGCGTTGGACTAGTTATATGTTTCTTGGTCGTACAGTGTACTGGTAACGTAAAATAGAAAGCAAAGGTCAATAGGTAGAGGTGCGTTTCATCCATAAATGATGACTAATCTCTAAGCGGATGTGACCTCACCTCAAGTTGGACCTTCACCGCAGTGCACCCACTCAGTCTGCTTTTACAATTGCCTATCTTTAATGTAAAAATGAAGTCGATTTCTGAAGTGAGCGCGAAAGTTAGGCTTGGTCATGCGACGGTCTAGTCCAGCTGTGCGGTCGAACGACCTGTTGTTCGCGTTCGCTTGGTGGTTTTGACTACCTCTGTCACTGTGGAGGGCTGATAGACTATGCGAAATCTGGTCATTTTGGATCACTTATTCAGACTTTGAAAAAATTTTCACTCTTCGTAGAATCATTGACAATGCGGACGATTCGATTTGTTTTGGTTTGCCAGTTTCCTCAAGTGTAAAGCTGTCACTTGATTCAATACATCGTGGCGAGTCTTAGAATGCTGTGGGATGTCGAACACACAGTTTTCATTTGGAAGAGCTCTTTCTTATCCAAAACAGTGCTGACCAAAGCAGAAGCGAAGGTTTCAGTTTAGAACGAAG